TTATTTTATTTTTTAGTAATCAAATAACTTAATGAGGCTGAACTAAAGATTCGACGTTTATCTTACTAGACTTCTTGTTTTTTCTATAGATGTTAAACTTTCCTACATTTACGCTTCATTTTTATTTCCTGGGTAAAAGACGTTTTGATAAAGAAAATCGAGGCGTATTTTAAACAGTGGTCACTTTGGAATCATCTGTTTTAACATTTACTCTACTTCAATGGTAAAGCTGCATTTTATTACTAAAGGCCATCTGGTACAGACATAGGATGCAAGGTGTACAGCGGTGACCATAGTTTGAAAAGCAAATACTTATTCTCCTCATTGCCTTAATTAACACGCATTTGATACCCACTTCAAAAGGTTTTTTGACCTCTTATCAATCATTTAATATATCTACTTGAACTTTGTCTCCGTGGTGAACGCATACTAATGGAGATAAACTGTCCTGTGACACCTTCACAAAACTTTGAGGACGAACTGGCTGCCACGTGTCAGATTAATCAAAGACACGGCTAGTCACCATTTCTTGATGTCCCACCCTCACCACTCTTAACAAAAAGGCATTCTATATCCTCCTCGTAGTCAAATATTTTCTCGTAAGACCCTCTAAATGCCACTCCGTTCATAAAACACACACAAAATGCGACACTTTTCTTGAAGGTTGTCATGAGTCACCTTATCACCTTCCGACAGATTAATTGGTCGCTGTCGCCTTTTGTGTGAGTCGATGAGTAACGGTCAGAGAAACATTGACACCACCTAGACACTCCCCATGGACGTCTTTAGCTGTCTCAAACTTGAATTACTTTTTGCGTGGGCGTCACTCAGCAACAAAAACACGTGACTTCCGTTTGAAGGTAATGCTTGGCGTCCATATTAATCCAGCAATCGCATTTTTACACAGGTACTGGTCGAACTACTTCAGTAAAATTGCGAATATAATTGTTTGCACTGCATTTCCTCAAAGGAGAACATGGATGGAAAAGGCGTAATTGCAAGAACAATAATTCTAACATCAATATTAGCAAGTGGATGCTACAATAAAAAAGTCACTGAAGGAAGATATCTTCTACAGATGGTGGAATTTAAGGGGAATCAGAGGAATAATTCTTTAAATTACACCGGCTTATATCAACTACTTTGACATTGGATTCCATACGATGCATAATAGTTACCTTTATACTTTACATCACCAACCACCGAATTTGACGTCTTTCTGCCTTGATGGAAAGTATTGTATGATCTCCGGACCTATTTCGTAGCAGAGTTTAATGCGCTTACCTTTTGACCGACGAAAAAGAGAAGTGATCAAAAGATGCTAGTCGCGCCAGCTTAAACCCATGACGAGGGCAGAAGGCGAAAGTGGACAGCGAAGCAACTCAGGTAGGGAAGTCGAGTCGTAGATCGGACTGACGAAAGCATCAAGCTAACTTACGGCCAAGAAAGCATGATGACTGACAGGGCAACAATGACTACGACGTAAGTACTTTTCGGTAATGGAGAAAGCGGTAATTTAAACAACATTAGTAAATGGAAGGAGGAAAAAAACACGTAAAACTGACCTCAAACTACTTTCCGGTACCTATCTTTACTCGCGTCATCTGTAATGAGCTTCCAATTTTTTTAATATCCTGTTGGACTTGCACCAAGCGCCGAAACATGTGGATGTGGTAAGCAGTTTAATTAGCATCGTCGCAGATGGGGAACATGAGGCAGGACAGCCGGGAGAGGGGAGCGATATGGAGAGGTAAAGGGTGGCAGAGGGGATGGTGCCTTGCGTTCCCTTGCACGTGCCCATCAGAGCGATAATTAGCACGGGGCTTTGTACCACTAAGGTGAGGTTCACAGTTTCTACGTGGGAACTCTGCAAACGTAATTCATGGAATCTGACGAGTGATTGGACAGTTCATTTAAGAGGCCTAAATTCACATTCATTTTTCATTTAAGCTGCACAATGGAAATAGCTTAGTGCTGGATGATATCCTATAACAAGCACAAATCATATCTTTATGACTTCCCATACCGACGATACCTTGTTCTACTGAGCCGTAGTAAGAAGCATCCAATCCATGTAGACATAATTCTTTTTTGTAGTGGCAGTTAGAAAATTAATATATTTGGCAGGAGAAAAAGGTTTTGATATTATCATACTGTGCTATCACTAATGCGGCATATAAGTTATCATTTTGTTGCCACTTAGCCCTCTGAATTTTTCTTTGCTACTATAGACGTAAAGTATTGTAAAAAGAAACTCCAATTCAGTTACGATAAAATGCCTTGCAGAGGATATTTACAAGTTGTGTTTCTCTAAAATGGTTTTACTCGTTCACTTGTAGAACACGAAAATAAGGTATTTGGGAATGGCAGGCGGCATTTCAATCCTTTCCTACATTCATCTATCCGCAGCTGACGTCTTCTTTTGCAACGTTAATGTCCGGCCATCAATGAAGGAAGTCCAGAAAGGCGTCTTTCTAGACTGTACACCATCAATGCAGCTCTTCTAGCTTCCCCTGAAGTAACTAATTCGCGTCGACCTTTCAAAATACACTAATTCTAGGAAATCACATTGTATTCGCATTGTGATCCTGGAAAGTGCTAAACTTCTTGTAAGAAAAATGTAGCGTTTTGACACGGATTTCGGGTGCTTTATGCCCTTTTACTTCCAAAACGTGTACTTGAAGTACACATGAACCATTGCTTTGTGTGCATTGGGCCAGTTTTAAATGAGCTCCTCTGTGGCGTGTGAAATCCTCATGAAGTACAATTGACCGTATGCGCTTAAAACGGACCACATTGTAGCATTATGACAACCGTTTTGGAGTTAAATCTTCCGTAATTTGGCTTCCGTGCTAATGGGATAGAGCTCTGCCATTAGTCTTTGGATCCTTTCATGTATTCACAGGAAAGATATGCCTGGACTACTACCTTAGAGGACACTATCACAAATGCTTCGAAGAAGGTGGAGGCAGATTGACTGCTTATTACGCAGAACACGATCAAAAAGATTATCCTACACCATGAGTGTATGAATCGGAGGAGATAAGCAAGTGATGGGACAAGGAAATCGTATGTTTTGTTAAAAACTATTAAACCGATGGCAGAAATAAAACAAATTTACAGGAGTCACTATAACCTCTTCGAAAACTATCTACTGAGATGTCCTAAGGCCTACGAAAACGGACTAAATTGTAAAATATGGTAGTATAAAAGTTTTAAGAATTTGAGAATAAATAGTAGGGGTTACTAGGATTTAAGAAAATTGGATGAAGCGATATCTATTCAGCTTATTTGTTCCACTTGTACGTGGTGCCCAAACCAGTGACATGAAGCTCTCATTTTCGCGGTGGGTGAAGTGCGATTTAACGTTCATGGGTCTACATGACGCCGATGAGTCGTACCTGCCAAACTTTTGTGGGTACAGCAAAAAAACTACGTAGCAGAGATTAAAATAGCATAGATACCAAACAAATCACCCTGACAAAACCCAAATATAACTAATGAAAAGTTAGTTAACTTATGGGTTTTCAACTTTTTAATACCGACTCTACTTATTATCACCTAAGTACACGAAATACTTGACCCACAAATACCACGAAGAGCAAGTACCAAGTTTGACCATGCCCAACTTATTTTAGACCGATCAAACATCCAAATTTGACAATTAAAAACACTAACAAGATGTAACGCACCGATACAAAGCTAAAAATGTCCTAGAAAGTCCCTAATATAATGTCATGAACTGCGTTGGAACTCTCATATTAGCCACATAATCGACACGTCTACTACGCCGTATTGAAAACAAAAAAAAAAAAACATGTGTGAGGGTATGGTATTAAATTGAAATGGTGAGGCTCCGCTCTCGTACTTTGAATTAGCCCTCTT